CATCAGGAGGCTGAACCCTCAACAGTCTGCAGAATCCCCTCACTGATTACACTGTAAATGATAATCTACCTTAACCAAAATCAAAGTAGACTATCACTCACCCACACCAGATGGAAAACTCTACAGACTGTCGGTTCATATCGTCAAACATATATGTTGTGAATAAATGGAAATATTTGCAAAATCTACACAAATATAACCTGCACAACAGAATTGATTACGCATAGTGCATGCTATATTTGACGATACCATGCAAATATGACGAATATACAAAGTTTATGTTACGTTTAAGTGTAAAATATTATTTAAAATTTACTTATTATTATTATTATTATTTTTTAATAATAAATGCAACAAAAAAAGAAATACACGGTACGCAAATAGAATTGCGCAAATGGAATGACAGAGAGAAAAAACAATCTGCCAAATTAATTACGCAATATTGTGCTCAATGTCTATAGATATATATCTTATGCAGACATGATATATATTATGCATGCACATTGTACGATTATGCATGCATGTAGTTCGTATACACGTAAATGTGCATGTGCATGCATTTATGAGCATGCGCATGCGGTTAGTACGTATATTACGTGAATGTGCATGTGCGTGCGTTTCGTACGTCTATGTACGTATACGATTATGCATGCGTGCATGCATTTAGTACGTATACGTACGAATATGCATGCATGCATGCATTTAGTACGTATACGTACGAATATGCATGCATGCATGCATGCATTTAGTACGTATACGTACGAATATGTATGCAGTTGTATTTATTATTCATGTATGTATTCACTGTTCAGGAGATGACATGCCTCACGCATTCCATGGACATGGCATGCGGCATTCTTTCTCTACCACCTCAAACGAAAAACTCGGTTAATTTAAAAAACAAAAACAAAAAAAAAAACTCGCCTACGGCTCCCCAGTCACACCGCCCCCTGTTTTTTATGGATTTTGTAGGCCCTGTAGAAAAGCGCTCCCTCCTGCCTCTTCCATTTCGGACAGCGGCCGCATTTAACAAGACGACGGGAATTCAGAGTTTAGCAGCTCGACCATGATATAATGTCCTCCGCATCAATACTGTAGAACATCGTCTTCACCCATACATATATACATACATACATACGTACTTACGTATATACGTGTGTGTGTGTGTGTGTGTGTGTGTGTGTGTGTGTGTGTGTGTGTGTAAGTGTGTGCGTCGTCATATTCACTAACACAACTCCACAAAGAAAAGCATGTCTGTGCCAGACTGTTTCGTCGGACTTCACGGACTCATCAGGAGGTTGAATCATGACAGTCTGCCGAGGATGCATTTGACTGATCGTTCAGGACTCATCACTGTGTGAGTGCTGGCGCGTGTGTGGGTGTGTCGAAAATCATTCTCGGGCGCGTGGCGTACTCGCCACACACCCCGCCATCACAGTGGTAGACCTGGGCCGGTCATGTGCAAACTAATGCTCACTGCTGCCACTTTAGGGGGCAGAGGCAGATGGCGGCAACCGCCTGAACAAGGAGAACCACACGATGCATCAAGGTAGAGAAGAGACAAGACAGCACCCAGATGGACAGAGAGAAGGGGAGAACTCATGCATACATCTCAAAGCAAACACAAGCTCCGCGGCGGAAAACCATAGGCTGGAGGACACGGGGGAGGCGGGGGAGGGCAGACGACATACAAGCACACCAACAGGCAAGCCAGGAAGAATAAATCAAGTCTCAAAAGAGTGCAAAGACCCAAACAAATAAAAGCTGATGATAGATTGTTTCGTTGGAGTTGCACTGACAGTCACTCCTCAGGAGTCTGAACCCTTGACAATCTGGGGAATGCCTGTATTGACGGTTTGGGTCACAAACCCTTCGACCAAAATCGACCCTTGTTGAAGGCAGACTGTCCCCAAGCGAAACACAGCAGCAGGCAATGCTGAGGGAGCAACCCACCTGCACAGTGCCAAAAAGGGCTGCACTGGACAACAGTGCGAGCGGACGAGCAGCACAGCAACGGTGCAGCGATGCAAAAGGCAACACCGACACAGCAACAACAGCACACGGCAGACAAGCAAGGAACACAGAAGGCAAGGCACGTGGATGGGCAGTGAGACAGCAGCGCAGCGAAGCATAGGGCAACACCAACACCGCAGCCACACCACACAATGAACACAGCAGCTTGCACATGCGATGTAAGTGGGACGAGCAGCAAGGCAGTGACAGAGAGCAGACAAAGCAGTCTGGACATCCAACACGGAGCAAAGCGGCACATCACCTACTCACATCACGGATAAACCCCGCAGAGTGTTGGTTCCCACCACCCACTGAGCCAGGGAGTCAGCTCGATGAACACCCATCATCACCCGGAAGGCAGACAGACAGATCCCGAAGTGAGCTGCCCACCTAAGAGTGCTGCAGACACTCCAAACAAGGAATGACCGACTATTTGGCACTGCGTAAAGGTGCTCAGTTGGGCAGAAACAAACAACAAAAGAAAGACAGGCAGACAGACGTAAAAAATGATTGTGTGTGTGTGTATGTGTGTCTGTGTGTGTGTGTGTGTGTGTGTGTGTGTGTGTGTGTGTGTGTGTGTGTGTGTGTGTGTGTGTGAGAGAGAGAGAGAGTGTGTGCGAGAGAGAGAGTGTGTGTGTATGTTTCTTTGTGTGTGGATATCG